CAACGACGCTGCTAGTAACAAAGGGCATCGCTACTAGCAGCAAGGACGCTACTACGGGCTCCTGGCCTTACTACTAGGAACAAGGACGCTGCTAGTAACAAAGGGCATCGCTACTAGGAGCACGGACGCTACTAGGGGCTCCCGGCCATACTACTAGCAGCAAGGAAGCTACTAGGAACAAACGGCAGCGCTACTAGGAGCAAGGACGCTACTAGGGGCTCCTGGCCATACTACTAGGAACAACGACGCTGCTAGTAACAAAAGGCATCGCTAGGGGCACCTGGCCATACTACTAGGAGCAAGAAGCTACTGGGAACAAAGGGCAGCGCTACTAGGAGCAAGGATGCTACTAGAGGCTCCTGGCCATGCTACTAGGAACAAGGACGCTGCTAGTAACAAAGGGCCTTGCTACTAGGAGCAAGGACGCTTTACTACTGGGAGCAAGGAAGCTACTAGGAACAAAGGGCATCGCTACTGGGAGCAAGGACACTACTAGTAGCTCCTGGCAATACTACTAGGAACAAGGACGCTGCTAGTAACAAAGGGCATCGCTACTAGCAGCAAGGATGCTACTAGGGGCTCCTGGCCTTACTACTAGGAACAAGGACGCTGCTAGTAACAAAGGGCATCTCTACTAGGAGCAAGGACGCTGCTAGTAACAAAGGGCATCGCTACTAGGAGCAAGGAAGCTACTAGTAGCTCCTGGCCATACTACTAGGAACAAGGACGCTGCTAGTAACGAAGGGCATCGCTACTAGGAGCAAGCACGCTACTAGGGCTCCTGGCCTTACTACTAGGAACAAGGACGCTGCTAGTAACAAAGGGCATCGCTACTAGGAGCACGGACGCTACTAGGGGCTCCTGGCCTTAGTACTAGGAACAAGGACGCTGCTAGAAACAAAGGGCATGGCTACTAGGAGCAAGGACGCTACTAGGGGCTCCTGGCCATACTACTAGGAACAAGGACGCTGCTAGTAACAAAGGGCATCGCTACTAGGAGCAAGGACGCTACTAGGGCTCCTGGCCTTACTACTAGGAACAAGGACGCTGCTAGTAACAAAGGGCATCGCTACTAGGAGCACGGACGCTACTAGGGGCTCCTGGCCTTACGACTAGGAACAAGGACGCTGCTAGAAACCAAGGGCATGGCTACTAGGAGCAAGGACGCTACTAGGGGCTC